GCTACCAATGAAGCAACGTATCACGTACAAGCTAGGGATGCTCATTTTCAAGGCTTTGCATGAAATTTCACCGGTCTATATCACCAGACTTGTGACCCCCCACAAGCCATCTCGATCAGGCCTCCGCTCGGCTGATCGCTCATTGCTCGCAGAATACAGAACCAACAATCACTGGGGATCAAGGGCTTCTAAATTTGCAGCTGGAAAAGTCTGGAACCAGCTCCCATTCGACGTTCGAAATTTGTCTTCACTCTCTGAATTCAAGTCTGAACTTAGATCTTTTCTTTTTATTTCTCACTTTGAATCAACTCAATAACTGCTTTTCCCCGTCTCCCACAGGCCGGCATTTATTTGTTGGGGCCACTGTCTCGATTACAACTCCTGAGCACCCGGTCGTCTGTGGCAGGGCAAATGTGTTTCCCGTTCCTTTGTTCGAGCCACCTAAGCAGAGGTCCGGGATTGCGCCAGGGTGGTGATGGATGGTGACCCCGAAGAGTAGCATCTTATTTTGCCTATCTTTCCCATCCTGTCTGGTCCGACACCAGGCCCGTAGCCAGGGGGGTTTTTAGGGGTTCGGGCGAACCCCCTTTTTCAGCGAACCCCCCTTTTGCCAGCGAACCCCCTTAACCAGAAAACGATCCCCCGTTTCCAAAATAGTGCAATTTATTACAAAATAGGAGCATTTTTGGCACTGTTTATTTTTCGCTATCGTTCGTAGTCCGATCGTAGAAATAAAAAAAAAGCTGCAGCCAGCTGAATGACGTAACCAGCAAGACTTCAAAATGAATATTAATGAGAGGTTTGTTGCCTAAGCTATTTGACCAATCGCGTGCTCCGTAGTTTATTTACTTTGGCACGACGTCATCACAAAAGTTTGGGCGCTCGATATTTTTCAGTTCTCTGGGATCGAGGACATGCGACACACCAAAAATAGCCTAGGAGGAGGACGAAGCGCCGAGAAAGGATAACCGATTTTTTTGCTTCAAGGCCAGCAACGAAGAAATCACGAAATTTAAGAAGTTAGGGTAGGGTCGTTGCCTATGAGGCCTATTATTTGCGAACGATTTTATTATTTATTTTGTAATCGAGCTAGCATAGGCCAGGGCCTAGGCTAGCGAGGAAATATACTTGGTAATGTTTTCACGTTTCGTCAGAATTAACTGACATTATTCATAATAATATATTTATTATTTTTTCTCAATATATCTCATTTAAACCAAGACAGCTCTTAAATTATTGATTGTTTATTTTCACTGTGCTAAGTTTTTTTTACATAAACTGGTTCTTAAACATGTACATTTGTAGCATTATAATTATGTCTGTTTTTTTTTCAATATTACCGTGCAAGTATATTTACATGATTTTGTAACTTGTAAATATAATAACATTTTTCCTTGCCCTAATTATATATATTTCCATTGCAACTTAACATTTAAGTTATTTTGGTAAAAAAGTAAAATGTAGGGCTGTCAGTTCCTATTGTTTCTTCATTTCTGCAATAAATAAAATATTATTTGCAATATTTCTCTTTTAAGCAAAGACCTTTTACATACCTCCATTTAGCAATCTCATAATGTGCAAGGTCTGTGTTTTGTACAGTCACCTAGTGGGTATTGCTAATTTTATCCCAGTTATATTTTTAGAGATAACATTACATAGTAGCATTAAAATGTTAAGCATTGCTTTTTAA